GTGGAATCATGCTACTACCAGAAAGATGGCAAAAGGTGTTGGATCAGAATGGCAAATATATAATTTAATTAAAAATTTATTCATTTAACGAAGATCGTCTTTTATCTTCACCACAAAAAAAAACGAAATTATTTTCTAAACAACCTGATAATTGCTTTCGCGATGCAAAATTTTATAACGTCAAACAAAGAAAACTAGGCAAATGGTCAGAAATCTTATTATATAAAATTTTTTTTGAACAGTTTCTAATGTTGAAATTTGGAAAAATATTACCAATAGTTATTATTACCAATTATATTTAGTTATTAGTTATTATAGTTGGTTACTATCAATATATTTAGATGCAAATTAAATTAAGTCATAAGATTTAAGAACGTGAATAAAGTTTGGCTCTTCACTGCTAATTTCATATTAAAACCACTAACAATGAAAACATTATTGTTGATGCTGCCTTTTAACAGTTCATGAAGAATTGTTATAGAAAAAAACATCAAATTGGCTATTTGGTGGCTTACAAAAACATAAAAAAATCATTGTTTTGCTATTGAATTGGATGTCTGGCCACTAAAATTACTTCAAATTATGGAAGAAATTTAGATTTTATATCTTCGTACGTTACTTTTATCCATTAAAAAACCAGTGGAGCTACCTCCATTCCTTTCAACCAATGCATTATTTGGAATTAACTCATGACATGGAAAGTATGATAGCAATGAATAATGAGTATCATCATCATTTAGTAATGCTTCACATTATGCAACGATTTTAGGAATATTAAACATGTAATTGAAAGATTATTAATTAATAAAGATGCGTAGTTCGGCGTGTACAATCAAACTTTTTGTTTATACAAACGTTGTTAAATACTGTTGGTCATTTTGTGTTCATTAACTTCTTTGTAAGTGACTCAACTCTACGCATTTGCTGCCCTTCATATATGCTAAAACTATCTGTCATTGCTAGGCTAACAAAGTTATTTCGGCATTATTGCCATCATCGGAGCCTAGAAAGTACAAAATTTGAAATTAAAAAATTAAAAATCAAAGAAATAATGATAAAACAACCGTGAAAGAAACTAACAAAATAAGAATAAAATACATGAATAATTTAAAGTAAAAATTTAGAATTATTATATTGTATTACTAATATAATATAATTAAACGTTAAATTCACTATAACTTGATAAATGGAACGAATAAAATTAAATGAAACAAGTTAAATAAAATTATATATCGTTATTTGAGAATGGAAAAGAAAACAGTATGTGTGTGTGTGTAATATTGCGATAGAATAGTGTTAGTGTAAATAAACAGGGCCTGCTCAAGTTATTTTGCCGCCTGATGCCAAATCCCAGTTTGCTGTCCTAAGTAAAAAGCACCAATATATTAAAAAATACCTTAAAATAAAACTAAAAGTGACGTACAAAATCATATATTTGCAAAACATTAAACCCAAACAGTACAAAAAAAGGCAAGCAAAATACATACAAAATGGGCATATTCTAACGTGACTTAGTGAAAGAAGTTTACTTTCCTAATCTTTTTATCAATGATTTTATAAATGCATCTAATTTTTTGCAGATGATATTACTTTTCTCTATTCTCATTCTAATTTTGATTTATTGGTTTCTACTATTAACAAAGAATTATTTCTTTTTTATGATTGGGTGGCCTCTAATAACTTAAGGATTAATATTGACAAAACTTTATATTTTTTGGCCCTAAAATTAAAACTGATTTGTATCATCCTATTTGTTGCTAAATAATAAAAGTGTTAAAAGAGTAAATGCTATTAAGTTTTTGGGAGTTGTTATTTCTGGAAATTTAAATTGGTTAGATCATATTAAATATATATCGGGGAAAATATCTAAAAATTTAGGATTAATATATCGTTTGAAACATAGATTTCCTTGGTTCTTCTTGAAGACTTTATATAACTCTTCGATATTGCCTTTAACTTACTGTATTGTTATCTGAGGGTGCAGTTTTTTTTGTTTCTTTTAAGTCTTTATTATTGCAGCTCTCTGACATACGCAAAACCATTTACAATGATGTAGCATATATAGTATCTATATATCTTTATTATGTTCTGAAGCAGCCATCTTCGCCAGAAAGGCTGTTTATCTTTTTCACACGACGTACACATGTGTTTATGTGCACGCGCAAGCACCGCATCATATATGCTGATTATATGATAACCTTCGAGATGTTTGACTCAGCGAGCATTAGAACCACTGAGCCATCTTGTCGCCCAACATGCGACAACTTACGTTGTCTACTCATTTACCAGCCTCGAAAGAATGGACGGCTGAGTTGGCCGGGGGGTCGGCTACCCAGATAAACCTGCAGAAACTGCAAGATTCGAACCCGTGGCGTGGGAGTAGTAGACGGACACGCTAACCACTCGGCCACGAGACCCCTAAATTCAGTTCATTTGTTAAGTTTGAATCAAAATTTTTTCTTAAGATTATTATTTGATTTGAACAAATTTGGACATATAACTTCATATTATAATTTAGCTGGTATTTTAAATATAAAACAGTTGCATATTCATTAACACTTTTTTTTAAATTTTTAAATTAAGTTATTGTTACTTCCTCTATAATCAAGTCATTGTATTTAATAACCATAGTACCAGATGTTTAAGACATAACTATGATTTTTATTTATTTAAGCCCAGATCAATTATTTATTAATTCTGTTCTTCCTTTTTCAATGCATTTATGGAACTCGTTACAACAAACAACAACACACGTTTAGACGACATTTTCCCCCGAGATCGGGGTTTGCCGTTTGGCTACCTATGATGAAACCGAAATACCCCTCGACGCCATTCTCATCCGTCACTCACCTCAGTATCACGCAAGCCCGCCTTCACTCTGTCCTTCTCCACCTGCTCTCTCCATCCCAATCGCGGACGACCCCTTCCTATCACTCCTTCAACCTCGAACTCCAACGCTCGTCTAATCCCGACCCTTTTATCCCTTCTCAACACATGTCCATACCAACGCAATCTCTATCTCTTTACCAATGTCATAATGTCCTTATTCAGTCCCATCATCGACATCAGCTCTGTACTACTCCTCCTATCCTTCACTCCTTCTCCTATGGGACTCCTGTGCTTTGTTTATATATATATATATATATATATATATATATATATATATATATATATATATTGGGTTTAGACTATCATAAATACAATTATTTATAAAGATCACTGCGTTTTCGGCATTATTCAACTTTTAGTTGAGTTTCTCAATTTTTAATTCTAATAAAGTTACAATCAAAGTCGCTGTGAAAACAAAGACACAAAGACGGAACAATACTATATAACTACACTGATGATGGCAGTTGATGCCGAAAAGAGCTTTTCTGTAGTAACAACGTTATTAATAATGTTTCGCCAAAAATGTCAAATATTAAGTTTTTTATTTAACCTCAATAAACTCAACAAAGATGATAAAAGTCTCGTTAGAAAAATTGAGAAACTCAACTACAAGTTGAATAATGGAAAAACGCAATGATATTTTAAAATAATTATATATATATATATATAATATTTTAAAATAATTATATATATATATATATATATATTGCTGCTCATCTAACTTGTTTTAGCTATTTTCATCCTTACTACAAGTTATTTAAAAAACCTGTTCAATAAAATTTCTATATGAATATGCATTATGTAAATATCTCAAAAATCTTCATACAAGGGTTTTTTGCTGTTTTATCATGGTTGACTTTTTAAAATTTTGAACGGTGAAGCTGTTTTTAATACACTTTATAAAAATTAAAATATAATAATCCTCGTTCTAATATAACACATAAGTTTTAAATTTTTTATAATGTTTAATACAATGTAGAATGTACACAGTAGAATAGCATGCAACAAAATGATTAAATACCAACTATAACCTTTTTAACACGCGGCAGAAAATCTGATCTCGAAGCCAATTATTTTGCGAGAGTCAGAAAATAAATCAGCCAACATAGGGGACGTTGTGCACTTGAACTGTCCCGTGAGAAGTGATTTTGTTTTTGAACGACTCTGGTCCGTGATCAGCCACAATAACATAACAAAAATTGAAGTTAGTTTCTCATTAAACAACTCATTATTACCTGATAATATTTAATTAATTATTTTTTCGCTTCGATAAAATTTCATGTAATTTAAATATAGGAATTGAGCTATAGAAAGTGAAACATGTGCTTTGAGATTAACAATATTTCTTTATGTATAATTGTTTTATAAAATTAGCACGATGGTGTTTCACTCAATTTGACCAACTACAATGAAACGCTGTCCATCCTAATAACAGCTAGAGAAACAAAATGCTATATTTGTTCGGTTGAGAACAGATTTGGAGATACATTTATATATTTCTGGATTGAAATTCGACCTGAAACGGGTATATTTTTTTTGTTAATAAATTTTAAACCAGCAATAACTTTACTTGATGTATACACGAAAAAGAAACATCACGGGAACACATAGGCAAGTCGTCTGTCCTGCTCATCTACTTTATTTTAGCCATTTTCATTCTTGTAACCATCATGGCCTTATTTCTTGTGTACAAAAAAATTCGTCACAAAAAAAGATACCAAGATTATGACGCCTCGCTAAAGATGGTTGACAATAAACTCTATTTTACAAATGTTTGCAAGATTTTCTAAGGAAATTATTTTTATGATATTATAATTTTTAGTTGTTTTTTAATTATTTTATATTTCATTTTGTGCATTTGGGCAAATAAAAATTGACGAATTATTTTTTCGACAATGTGTCGTTTTGAAGGTAAATCACGTTAGTAAAATTGTGGACCCTATAAGTGAATCTGACATTATTAAGAAATGGGAGATTTCTAAACAAAGGTGTTTAATTTTGTAGCGCTTAATTAATTTTAGAGTTCCCTAACAAACCAGACTGTGCAAAACAGGTTGACGTACATTAGTGAACTTGGAGAAGGAGAATTTGGAGTAGTAATGAAGGCAGAAATGAAAGAAAAGAATGGAGATGGGCATCAACTTGTCGCTGTCAAATTAGCTAAACCAGGATCTTCTAACGAAATGATGCTGTGGGAGGAAGCCAAAACAATGATGAAACTAGAAGGAAATACTAATGTTCTTTCCATGCTTGGATGTTGCATACGCAAAGGTTCGCGCAAACTTTAATGAGTGTTCTGTCAAATTTTGTCAATATTAAAACTAATAAAATAAAAACAAATTATTCAAAAAATAATTAAGTTATTTGTTGTTTTTACAGTTTTTAAATTTTAAAAGCTCTATAAATCACAAATATGTATAACGTAGGTCCTATTTTGATTGTAATGGAGTTTGCCCCATACGGAAATTTAAGAGATTTCTTGCGACTGAAAAAACCTAAAACGGTGTATCACGAATATCATAACCAGCATGTTGCAAAACTACAAAGCCATTTTGTCAATCCGTATACAAACAATGAACACACCAATCAATCAAATGAATGTCTGCTTAAAGAAGTTATCGAACTATCAAAAGTAGAGTTGAACTACAGAACTCTGTTATCTTTTGGTCGTCAGGTAGCTAAAGGAATGGAGTTTTTAGCTTTAAAACAGTGCATTCACAGAGATTTGGCTGCTAGGAATGTTTTAGTGGGAAATTTTCTAGTGTTGAAAATCGCAGATTTTGGTTTATCTCGTAACATCTGCAACCAGGACTACTACAAGAAAACAAGTAAAGGGAGACTGCCCGTTAAATGGATGGCTCCCGAAGTTCTTTTTGAAAACATTTGCACGTTAAAAAGTGATATGTAAGTTTTTCATTTTAGTTCATTTAACATGTCCGCTTGTAATTGCATTTTAATAAACTTGTAAAAATTATAAAATAAAGTGACGATGAAAAAACATTTCTCACATGAAAAGTTGAATTAAAAAATTATTTTATTTTTTATTTGTCTCATATTCATATTAACATACAAATTTAAATTTTATAATATTACTGTTTAATATTTTATTTAAATATGTATAAAACATTTTATTTTATATTTGCTTTATATTCATATCAACATATAATAGTTTAAAATTTAGATAATTTTTGTGTGGTTTTCAGATGGTCATATGGAGTATTGCTTTGGGAAATATTCACCTTTGGAGATTCTCCTTACCCAGGAATTCCATACAAAGATTTCTGCAATTTATTGAAGGAGGGGTATCAAATGTGCAAGCCCCAGTGTGCAAGTGAAGAAGTGTACAGCATAATGAAGCAGTGCTGGACGTACGACGCCGATGCGAGACCTTCCTTCAGCCACATTGTCCCCCTGTTCGATGGAATCATCAGCCATCTTTTCTCTCGGGTTTGTCACACTTCTCAGATTTTTAACGTAATAAAAAGTTTCACCGAATGTACGAACAGCATTTGTTGATCTTTTCAGAACTACCTGGATCTCTATGTTGATGTGAAAGAGGCGACTGAACATGACGCATTACAAATGTGATAAAAGTTATAGATTAACGTAATAGAACATTGTAAATAAATAAACATTATAATTTATATTGAATATTGCATATTAACAATTTCGTGTATGTATATATATATATATATATATATATATATATTATATATATATATATATATTATTAACATTTGTAAAGCGCTAAATAAAAATAATAGTGTTAATTTTTCAAAGGCGCTCTCCAATAATTAACTAAAATGACCAGCACAGTGGATATAATAAACCAAAAAATAAATCAGTTCACATTCATTGAATAATATAAATAAAGTAAATCACAAAATAAATTAGTTCACATTTATTGATTAAATAAATGAGTCTTCAAATTTTTCCTCTTTCAAGTTTAAGTTTTGAAAAATCAAATTAGGTTATAAACAGTATACATTTTGACGTCGGTGATTCTTCGTTTTAAATTATGTTAAAATGTTTGACAAAATATTACGTGATTAAGTTCATTCATTTATAAAAATTTATCACAAAAAATCATTTGAATAATGAAAAATTTCTAAAGAAAACCACATGATTCCTGAATGATAAATATGGTATTTCGCTTCGTTTCAATTATGTCTGACTTGGAGTTTTAATTTAAAGAGCGAATGAGTTTTAATGCTCGTGGAAGGTATAAACCAAGTGATGTGCTACCAAATGGCACTCGGCCTGACCACTTGTACCCAGATTTTTACACAACTTATCTATTCGAACACCGAATATGGTATTGGAATACCGAAAAAAGCTTTTTTTGTTCTATCATGATTAAAATAAATAAAAATTTTAGTTTTGAACTCAAGAAACTTGAGAATAGTTTACGATCAACCGTTATAAAAACTGAAAAACTAAACAGGAAGCTAAGTGCTTAGATTTAAGTTTAACCCTCAATGGGTCCTTGCTAAAAGGTCACGTTCCCGGACCTTGGGGTGCAATTTGCACCCCAGTCAATTTTTGTATGTAAAACAATTGTAACAAGCTCAATTTTTTCTAATAAAGATAAAATGCGTTTTATAACTAAATATGCATATTATATTCTCTCAAACAATCAACTAAAAAAGATGTTAGTAGGGAGAGACTTCCACAAATTTCATATAAGTAAATTTTTTAACTATATTGTCATTTTAAATTGTTAAAAATCAAATGCAAATGATGTTCTTTTTTTCATATTTAAGTAATAAACAATTTACAAGATTATTATGAACAATTTTCACAAAGTATTTTTGAAATGTTTATAAAATGTGTCGGACAAGCTCGCAGAACATACGAGTTTTCCTGTCACACACGCGCGGGCACAGATGACAACGTCTTGTGTCCTCTTTTCTTTAGTTGGTATCTTGATTCTTCTTTCTCCAAGGTCCAACTCTAGAAGTTGGATTGCATCCATGATTGACTTTCTGAGCCGAACGGAATTGTCCAAATGCTTCCTAATTAGTGGCTCAACAAGAGACTCTCCGAAACTTATGATAAACTGGCGACGACGTATAGCTTTAGAAAATTTATTCGAATCAGGGTTGTTGCACATCTAAATCACAAAACTAGCAACGGCAGCTAAGTCAAGCATATTAAAAAACAAAACGTTCCAGTCAAACTCTTTCCAGCGCTTTTGTTTATCTGGATAAGTAGAGTTCCATTTTGCATTGCATCGTTCTGCTTCTCTGTTTGTTTTTCTAATGACTAAAGACTGAATCTCTTGAGATAAATACAATTGAAACACTTCTTTTATTGAATTTTTACGTCTATCGAAAGTGTCGCCGGGTTGTTGCCGAATTATGTCCTGATTACGTCGGTGTTCGGTAATCCAATGTCTGCTTGTTCTATCCACAAATGTACTAAAACTAACAACAGACTGACCTACAGCTGTTGGTTGTGCTGAATCGGATCTACCGAGTGTGTCCCTTCCACGACATAATCTGCCTCTACCTCCTCTTTCTCCACTTGCAGTACCTTTACCTCTTTTAGTCACTGTTGTAGAAGGTTCATTTACCGGCTCTTCATCAGATGTAATGGCATCTTCCTATTCATCAGATTCCTCAGACATATGATCTTCAGTATTGGAATCAGCACCTGATCCTGGCAAATAATCTAATCTTCACTACAGGCATCATCTTCTGTAACATTCCCTTGGGGTGCAAAAACAGAAAGACAAGATTTATCAAGAGCAGGATCCAAATGATTAGATGTACAAGGTCTACTAAAAGCAGGATCCAAACGATCTGAAACAACACTCGATAAAAAATCTTCATCTGAAAAGATATTACAGTCAAAAGGATAAATTCCAGTTTTGGCGAATCCAGAAATTATGTTTGACGGAGTTACAGATTTCCGGTGGCGTATCCTACAAACTCTGCAACTTCATAAATACTAGCTGGTTCACCAGGATTTCTCACTAACTATGAGTTTATAGCACCCTTGTAAAATTTAGAAAATGAAGAGTACACAGAAACATCCAATGGTTGTACCCGATGAGATGTGTATAGAGATATTGTAAGAACTACAACACTGTGTTCCTATGAAATATAATTACCAAAGTCAATAAAAATGTTTTCTTTTATCTTTACATTTAACTTTAGAATTAAAACAATGGTTAAACAGAAACATATAAAATCAATTTAATTTAAATTAATTATACAAAATTAGCAGCCAACTTTTGCTAGGTCGATAACTGGAAGAGATAGATGACTTTCATGGTTGTCAGAGATGAGCAACGAAGGATTTTCCAAGAAACTGTAAGAGTGTTTTATGAAATGCTCCATCACTGGCAGAAAAAGTTCTGCAGTCTCATCCAACCAGTTTTGCCTGCCAATCCAAGCGTCCTAACCGGACTACTTTTCAGCATACGCTTTTGAAATCGAACTCGGGGAAAGACCATCGCTGGCGGAAGAAATGTTCCATTAGCACAGATTATACAACAAGTGGTTACTAAACTCTTTTTTTCGGCCCTTGTGGCTTGGTTAACTTGTTTCATCCCTTTTGCTCCAACTACTTTTGAACAACGTTTTTGAACATTTGTAGTTGCTGTTTCATCTAGATTAAAAATCCTAGAAGGATATGCCGACTGCGGTGATTTCAGGAAAATCTTTTCTAAATTTTTATAAAATTGCCCAATGTTGTGTCGGTTAAATGATGTAGCCCGTGAGAGACTACATGATTCAGGGCTTTTAATGCTAAGAGATGGACGCCGCTTCATGAACAACCTAAACCACTCTAAACCTGCGCATTCTTCAGTTTTCCATGTTGTTGGAAATCTAATTCCATTAATTTTGGCCATCTCGTATGCAATTTCTTTTACATTCTTTTGTTGAAATTTCATACATTATTTTTTAACTTGTCAAGATATATTCATCCATACTTTTTTCTTGTTCTGTTGTAAATATTCTCCGAGTTGTAAATATTCGCATAGTTTGGTTTAAATTTGACAATTTCTTCAGGATGCGCAGCTGATACTTTTGTGACATAGCAGGCCAATGTTTGGAATGACAAGCCATAAACATGAGCTACCTTTTGTAAAGAACCACCATCCATTACTTCGCCTACAGCACGACGCATGGTTTCTTCCGAAAACATGCCATTGCTGGTTTTTCTTATTCTATTTCTCATTTTTGTCTGCAAATCAATTATTATAATAATAATATAATCATATAATAATTATTCTATTAATTCAGAAATCATGTTTAACATCAGTTTTGTTATTGTCTCAAGGTACCCCATACGTCTCACTGTGCCCCATCATTGTTGTCTCTATGTACCCCACACAGTCGTTGACATAATTATTCAACGTAGTTCCAAAACCAATTGGAATAAAAATTTGGCTTCTATATGAACTAGTTCCTTATTGAAACGTCAAACTTTCATGTAGGAGTGATCACAGTATCATTACAAATAATTGAACAATTACATTCCAAACCAAATATTAACATGTCTAGAAATCTGTCAAAAAATCAAAAATTAGAATTAAAAAACGCAACTCACGATTTTCGTCGCAGAAAATTTTATTGTTAACTACCGGTCCCACTAAAGTACAGATTAGGTTACATGATATATGATATATCCATATATATCCATATATATGTTATATATATCCATGTTAGGTTAACTCTAAAGAAAAAATTATGTACCGCTTAACAATTATTTGATTTGTCTCACTGAGCCTCATGTCTCAACGTGCCCCACCCTCCGCTACTTTTCACAAGACTACATTGCAGTTTTGGAATCTCTGGGGATGTGTGGTTTGAGTCGTATCTGGTAGGTAGATCACAACAGGTATTATTCGGTAGTAAAATTTTTCAGGTTAATGTTATGTTGTTTGGTGTGCCACAAGGTTCGGTTCTAGTTCCTATTACATTCCTGATCTATACATCTGAGGTACTTAATGTAATAGAACCATTTAGTTATTTATGTCATACTTTTGCGAACGACTTACAGATTATTGTTACGAACAGACCGAATTCTTTCCAATAGGATTTGAACAAATTGGTAAGATGTTTTTCTGGAGTCAATATATGGATGCAAAACAACGTTGGTTCATGCATTTTGCATTCAATTTAACATTAAACTTGAAGATTTATTCCGCTTCACTATATATAACGACCTCGTCATTAGCCTTGACTTGAAAACGATGTTGGGCACTGTTTGCCAGTTACAAGCTGTTGTTGGTTCATTTGGAAGCGGGACACTAAACAATAAACCCACCCTTTACGGTCTGAAGAAATTTGCAAACTGTCCGGTCGGTACAGTTGATAGAGAATACAGAATGGTGATGGACGTGTTAGAGACCCATTCAATTATTTTTGGTGAGTGACTTAGATCAGTTATTTTAGGTATTTCCAGCTCAGTTCTTAGTAATGCTAGTCAGCTGATCCGTGACAAAATAGGTAAAATTTTGGCAAAATAGAAAAATTGCGAGAATAATGTAGCCAGCTATATTCAACCACCTGTTACTAAAACCATAGCATTGAAGGCCCTTTTTTTTTTTTATAAAACTCTCTATCTCCTTCTCTGACTATTTTTCCATTACTTACAAAATTCAGTGCTGATCTCAAAACCCATCTGTTTGCAAAATTCACCTAGGAGTGCTTTTGAACATTTTGGAAATACTGCTTTACCAACTAATTGGTTGATCGATCGATCGATTGGTTGTTGGTTGGTTAGTTGGATGGTTGGTTTATTGATTGATTGATAATTTAGCTACTGCAAGTTCTAAAATTAGTGTTGATCTATCTTTTTTTAAAGTGGTCGCTGCTGAATTTGAAAAGCGACAACGCACCAGGTTCGTGTGGTATCCAAATCGGGTGGCATTACTAAATCAGGTGTTGTCATTACTTTTGTGTGCCTGTCTGGCGTGATTATATAAAACGGAAAATGGGTAAACATTCGGCTTTATTGATTTTTTACAATTTCTAAAATTTTATATATGAAACATTTTTTCATATTATAACCTGTTTTACGATTTAGTTTTTGTTCATATTCAATTTTTTTGTTTCTTTGGTTATTACCCCTGACGTGTTTATATTTTATATTAACTTTCATATAAACATGGCAGAGCCGGTTAATATGAAGGACCTGAAGACAAACGTGAAAAAATACGGTGACATGAAGTCTGCCCTGTCCTACAGAGGCGGTTGGAAGAGTCTCATCATCTTCATTGTGTTGACGTTGGCCTGGCTCGCCGGGTTTAGTTCTCGTTTGTTCGCCGTCATAAGATTTGAAAGTATCATTCATGAATTCGATCCTTGGTTAGTTATTTTTCTATTTCTTGCAAACATTTAATTAAGTGTTTTCACTAATTATTTATAAGCTTTCAAGATTCAAACGATTTCAAAATATTGGCAGATAATTACGTTTTAAGTTAATTTTATATTAAAACTATTGAAGTTTGCCCTGTCCTAACCTGTAAACTTGGTTTATTTATTATTTAAAAAATATTAATAAATAATATTATAAAATTATAAAACCTTAAACATTAAAAGAAATCAAAATCTAAATATTTTAAATAAAAGAGTTGTCTTACTTTTACTTTTATTAAAAATTAAACTGTTGATGTGTTCATGTATGTGTGTGCAGTGCACTCTGTTAATCATTAGCTTCTGTCTTTATGTATTGTATGTGTGTGGGCCTTACTAATCATTGGATTCATGTGTGTGTTGTTTGTAATTTTTGTATGAAGTATTTAGTATAAGTATAAAAGTATTTAGTATTTAGTATAAAAGGCAAATGCTAGCTAACCAGCATAAATAAATTAATTTTTCTTAGACTAATACTGCATTGGATTGAATTCTAAATCTTATACTTGTAATTTTAAAAAAAAATCTTAATGTTAATGAATAGTTAACCCAGAATCTAAATAATAAAGATGAACTCAACTTGTTCAAGTAGTTTGGCTTTAGGTTTAGTTAGTCAAAACTCAAAAACCTGTTGCAGGATTAAAATTGATAATTAAATTTGTTGATTGAATATGTAATATATTAAGTCATTCTCAAAAATTGATGTTAATAAAAATAAGCCATATGGTATGAGTTAAAAATAGAAGTTGTTATAAAAAATTTTGTTATGTAAAAGTAAAGATTTTGGTTGAAATGACAGAAGTTCAAAAATATAAGATTACATTGAAAAACTAAAAAAAACTACACCTTATTTGATATTTAAAAAAATTGATAGTGATGAAGTTTGGCTATTGGGATATTTGTAATGCTAACAATATTAAATTTTTGTCCTTCCTATATGTGAAATGACACATAACATACATGAATTATATTTCAACAATGGCTCCTTTCTTCTGCAGTCACATCATATCACTCCAGCACTTTGGTCGGCGAGTTAGCTCAGTCGGTAGAAGTGCCATGTCTCGTGCAATTACACGATAACCTGGTTCAAATACTATCGGTTTGAAACTCAAAAATTATCATACGTTATGCTCGTATGATGTGGGGCTTGCACGTGCATACATAATGTTTATGTACAAGTACATTTTATGGTGTGGCTGGTACTATCTTTGTGCCACGAAGGTTTAAATACAGGATACAATGGTATGTAAGCAGTTCTATGCATGTCAAATCTGCATGATAAAGAACAAAAATAACTTTAAACATGGGTCATGACACTCATGTCATCTGGACTGTCTTGACTATTATACATATAAATGTACTCTTATTTTTTGACTAGTAGGCTTGACTTGCAGATTTTTTTTTTCATTTTTAAATGAGGATGTTATAGAGAGAGTTATTTAAACCTCATGAAAGGTTCAACTACAGAGCTACCCACTACATGGTCAAGCATGGTTTCTACAACTTTCTCAATTGGTTTGATGAACGAGCTTGGTATCCTCTTGGAAGAATTGTTGGAGGAACAGTTAGTTTTAATGTTTTTTATTTTTTTGTTTCTTTTTCCCTGCTGTCATCCATCTTTTTTCCATAATGGAACTTGATGATTTTTTGTTTTTACTAATTTGGTCTGCATTGTTAAATTATTTTGTTGCTGATTATGGTTCTTATTTTGACATTTTTTTTGACAGCTAGAAATTTTTATTTGAACTTTTATTTCTTGCATCAATTAAAATGAGTTATATAGATTCATTAATTTAATTTGTGTTGTGTATGAGAATTTGAGATGTTTTTCATTGTTGTACAATTGCTAAATTACAATTAATAAAAGTCCTTGTAAGCCATATGGTACATTTCACTTTTGATTTTTGTAGAAAGATAATTTTTTGTTGTTTGAAAGAATATTTCGTATCTAAAGAAAGGTCTTGATAAATTATTTGAGTTACAAATAATTTTTACAGCTACCTTTTATAAAAAGCATTAGTAAAATCATGCTCATGGTAGCCAATGAAAATTATGGGTAAAACTTGGCTTATTTATTCATGTGCTTCATTGAAAAGTATCACAACTCATGATACATACGTCAGGTGTACCCAGGTCTGATGATAACATCTGGAGCCATTCATTGGGTCCTGCACGCCCTGCACATTCCAGTACACATCAGGGACATCTGTGTCTTCCTGGCACCGATCTTCAGGTGCAACAATATCCACACAACCTTTCCATTGTTTTCATTGTTGTCATCGTTGTTATTATTATTATTGATTGTTTATTATTTTATTCACTGATTTTTTAATGTGTGGAATGTTACTTTTTTTTGTTGGTTTGTAAATAAATTCAGTTTTAATGATAATCAGTATTATCTTTGGACAATATTTACAGCTAGTTACAAACATTTACCTCATATTAGTTTTTGTCACCATTTTTTTTGTAAAATTTGTTTGATGCCAGATTTTATAATAATGCATTTTATAATGATTTGTATAATTTTAATATAATATCTTTTTATTAATAATTGTTTTATTTCTTGCATAATATTTTAAAAATCAGTGATTCAGCCTCAGGCTAAATTGTTCAATGAATTTGATGGCTTATTTTTCAGTTGGATAAATTTAGAAACAGTGCCTTATGTTATTTATTTGTTATGTTGATGATAACTTGTACCATGGTTTATATTGTAACCTAACAGTGGTCTAACAGCAATGGCAACGTACTTCTTGACAAAAGAGGTATGGAACTCGGGGGCTGGTCTTTTTGCTGCTTGCTTCATTGCCATTGGTCAGTTGCTGTTCTTATTGCTTGTTATATTTCTATGTTATATAGTTATTTTTTTGATGGCTATTTTTGTGCATCTGATTAAATTTTTGTTTGTGTGCATATATTTGTATATTTTTTCATTTATTTAAAATTAATTATGTCTGCAAAATAATATAGATGGATGAATGAGATAGATCATCACATTTCTTGGTGAATATAGTTTAAGGCAAAGAATTTGTTTTTAGTAAATGTTAGTACGGTTTTTTGGGTAGTGTACAAAACCCAAGTACTTTACATAAGAACAACAATGCTGTCAGATAAAACAGCATACCATTTTTTCTGTTGAACAGTTTATTTTTATATAAGAAATTCATATTTAAAACATTATCAGTTAGTTGGTCAGTCACGTTTCATCATTCATTTTATTGAAAACTTTATATTTGAGGCCTTATATATCACTTTGTTCCATAACATTGTGTATCCATAACATATTTATACATCATCCAAAATGCATTACTTATTTATATATAAATAATGATTATGAATAAATAATCCTATAATAAACCTCCATCTATTTATACGCCACCCAAATGTATGCACAACTTATTTGTTCGCCAGCCAAATTTATGCATAACTTATTTGCATGCTATTTAACTACTGCAGTGCCTGGGTACATCAGTCGATCTGTAGCTGGAAGTTACGATAATGAAGGTATCGCCATATTTGCCTTGATGTTCACCTACTTCTTATGGGTATGTCATGTATTGGATGAATGGTGGTTGCCATGACTTTGATTGCACTCTTTAATTACTTCAATGTTTTTATAATAATATTTGTACACAAATTGGTTGATTATAAAGTATGATGTGTTAAATGTATGTGTATATAGATGTATTTATTATTATTATTATCGTCATTATAAATTCTTTCTTAATTAATTTTTTGAAGAATATATATAAATATAAATAAATACATTGATATATATATTTTCATTTTCATTTCATTTCATTTTCAAAGTTTTATTCATAATCAACAACATATCAAATAAGTGAATAAAAGTTATGAAGTTGAATATGCGGAGACCGAATAAGACTGTTTGTCTTGTGGTGGCCACCGCAGGTAGATACATGAATAGTTAATGAAATAAAATAAGGAAAATAACTGAAGCAGAAAGATAATTGAAGATAAATAAGTAAATGTTCGTGTTGGTTTATGATGTTGAAAGGTTTATGATGGCTCTTAGATGGGGAGGTACAAGTTCTGTCCAAATTTTAGGACCTGTTATTTTTATGCTTGTCTGGATTAATTTGAGGCGAGTTTTGTAGATATAGAAGAGAGAGGTGAGTCTAGTGGTTGTAGATTGAACGGAGTTACTTAATGTGTAGAAGTTGATAAAGTGAGGTGGGAGAAGATTGTTGATAAATTTAAAAACGAATAAAGCAGAGTAGTAAAGACAGATGAAGTTAACTGGTAAAATTTTTTTTGCTAGGAAGAAGGGTTTAGTATGAGAATCGGGTTTGAGGTTAAAAATTGAACGTATTGATCTTTTTTGGGAAAGTTTTAGGTTATTCAGGTGGCTTTTTGGACTATTTCTCCATAGTGTGATGCAGTAGGTTAGATAAGGGTAAATGAATGTGTAATAAAGCGTGCGAAGAGCAGAAAGAGAGAGTTTATATTTGATTTTGTAGAAGATGCCTGTGAGTTTGTTGATTTTGTCTGAGGTAGTTTGTAGGTGAGAATTCCATGAAAGATTTTCTGTGATGGTGATTCCAAGAAATTTGGTAGACAGGGTGCGGCTTATAGGAACACCATTAACTAATAGGTTTAGGTTAGGAGCTTGGTTGGTGAGTATTTTTGGGCCAAAAATAATGTATGCACATTTCGAATAATTTATGATTAGTTTGTTATTGGATAACCAGTTAGAGTATTTTTGGAGTTCAAGATTGGTATGTTCAGAGCAATCTGGTAGGTTGTTGGAAGTAAAAAGAAGGTTGGTGTCGTCTGCGAACAGTACGCATTTGGTTGAGGGCGAAACATTGCAGAGGTCATTTATGTAGATAGAAAATAGAAGGGGTCCTAGTATGGATCCTTGTGGCACCCCGTGATGAATAAGAGCGTGCTTTGAATTGATGTTGTCCATGGAAACATATTGTGTCCGTGATGAAAGATAGCTTCTCATCCAGTTGTGAGCTGTGCCTCTTACTCCGTAATGATGTAGTTTGGATAGGAGTATTTTGTGATCGATGACATCGAAGGCTTTGGATAAGTCCAGGAAAATGCCAATAGAAAGATTTTTGTTATTCATTTCATTTAGTATGTGCTGAGTGAAGTCAAGAATAGCAAGCTCAGTTGAGTGGTTGGGTCTGAATCCGTATTGGTTATTGCAGATAGTATTGTTGGAGCAGAAAAAATTAGAGAGTCTTTTAAAGAAAAGTTTTTCAAGAATTTTTGACAGCGGGGAAAGAATGGAGATGGGTCTGTAGTTGTTAATGTCATCTTTGTTTCCTTTCTTGAATACTGGTATGATTTTGGCTATTTTAAATGAGTCAGGAAAGATTCCAGTGCTTAGTGATAAGTTGAAGATATGATTAAGTGGTGATATGATAGAGAAAATTATGCTTTTGATAAGGAACATGTTGAGTCCATCGTCTGCATAGCTCTTTTTGTTTTTCAAGATATTAACAGTAGTTAATATTTCTTGTTCAGTAACAGGATATAGACAAATGGAATGGGGTGTGGATGGGCTCATAAAATCTGTAGGATTATCATAGCTGGGAGGTTGGTTTGAGAGTAGTTGACTAGCGATGTTTGCAAAGTGGGTGTTGAGAAGGTCACATATTTCTTGTTTATTTTCAATTGCTTGGTTGTTGATAGTTAGTTTGGTGATTGATGAGTTAGGAGGTTGCTTGTTTAGAATTTCTTTGATAGTGTTCCATTTTTGTCCAACATTGTTATGTGCGTCTTCAAGTTTGTTAGAGAAGTAGTCTCGTTCTGTTTTTCGTTTAATAGATGTGAACATGTTTCTGAAGCTTTTGTAGGTGGCAATGTTGCGGGTGGTTGGATATTTAAGGCTTATGATGTATAGTTTGTTTTTCTTTTTTGCAAGACTTAGAATGTTGTCATTGATCCAGCATTTTTTCTTTTTGTTTTTGACAGTACGGAGGGGGGCAAAAGTGTCTAGAGAGTGAATTAAGATAGTATTCAAAACAGAGCAGCAGTCGTTGACATTTTTTAGAGAAGTCAAAGAATTCCAGTTGTAGTTCGATAAGAAATTGTTGATGTTGTTTATAGATTCTTCAGTTAGGTTTCTGAAGTGCTTTATAGGGGCATGGTTTGAGATTTCTGATTTGGAAGCGATGGCGAATATAGGGAAATGGTCAGATATGTCAGACAGAATTATTCCAGATAAGTGAGAAGTTAGATTGTTAGTAAAGATATTGTCGATGAGTGAGCAAGAAGAAGTTGAGATGCGAGTAGAGGAGGTTATAAGAGGTAAGAAGTTGTATGATGATAGTAGGTTAGAGAAGTCAGCAACGACGTTTTCACTGTTGAGTTTATTGAGGTCAAGGTTAAAGTCGCCAATTAAATAGCTCTTTATGTGTGGCTTGAATGTGGGTAAAATAAGTTCGAGCTTTTGGATTAAGATATTAGGGTCAGTGTTGGGGGGTCTATATACTGCTAAAATATTTACGTGTGTGTTGTTTAATTTTAAATTGACACCAAGAAGGTCAATAACGGTGTCGTTCAGAAGCAAATTGTTTATCATAGAAAATTCAATGCCTGATCTGATGAAGATTCCGACTCCACCACCTATTCTGTCAGACCTGAGTGGATTCTTCCAAAGAAGTTAAAATGGAAGCTACCTCAACTGTGTTTTCTACATGCTGATGTGAGTTGACCAGCGATGGTGTATTAACATTTGGTAGGTCGACAGGATAATAATTTGGTAGTGAAGTTGTAGTGGGTTTTATCAAATGCTGTGGTCGAGCATGAAACAACCAGGGGTGAATTTCCACGCCGATAAGCCAATTTTCAGGATTGGTAAAAATCATTTCCTGATGTTTAAAAATAGTTATGCGGAATTTTGTTGATGGATCACTGGTTGAAGGTTGAGGACGAGTGGGAGAGAATTTAAAGACTGGTACGCATTCTGCAGCGGTCAGTCCAATAGTTTCCAGATGTTCAAGGATCTCTTCTTTGACGCAGCTTTTCAATTTACCTACCCCAAAAACAATTTTTTTGGGAGGCAAAGGAGCTGCAGATAATTTGAAAGACCCAGGTTGTTTGGAACCTACAGTAATTGGAGTGTATTTTCTCTTTTTTTTTGAAGTAACAGTGCTCCAAGAGCCTTCGTGGCCACTGGAATTAGAGTTGTTTTTATTGATGTTATTGTTAGGAGTTGAAAGTGAAGAATGAGCAGGAGCAGCTTCAACGTTGAGATCCACCAGCGATTGGGTTCCCTGCTTCGAGGTTTCATCAGATGGTGGTGTGTTGATTACGGACGAAGCTGGATGAACGATCTTGGGAGATGATGCATCCGAGCTGTACGAGGCGTGTTTTTGTCCTGCTGCTACCGAGTAGCTTTTAACATTGTTTACGTCGGTGTTATTGGTATTAAGTTCACTTTTATGAACTCGAGGGGCTGCGTTCAGCATGCTGCATAGATAGAGTTGCTGATTGTGCAGCATATTGCATATGTCGTTTTTCATTTCATTGAAGTTAAATTTAAGAATAGAGTCGTTATTAGGTACCCGTAAGTTAGAGCTAACGTATGTAGGAAGCTCTGTTGATAATTTTTTTTGCGGACTAGCCCTAAATAGCGAATGGTCTCGCGTAGTTTGTCTTTTTTGTCTTTCTTTTTAGGACCACGTGGTGTATCGAAATTAACATCAATCTTTAGGAGATTGACGTCGTGTTTGATCTGTTTGAGGGCAGCCGAGATTTCTTCCGAGCTATAGAAGTCGGACATATTGTTAATAAATATATCGTTGTTCAAAAACTCGTAATTATTAAATAAATAGCACAAAACTTCGTTAATCGTTAAATTCTGTTTACACGCCATGATGCCGGAAACAACAATGTTTATGCCGGAAACAAAAATATATATATATATATATACATAAATACATAAATATATATATATATATATATTTATTAGATTAAGACTGTGAGAAATAAAATTTAGTAAAAATCACAGCATTTTCGGCGTTAGTTAATTTCCAATTTAATTTTTCGATTTTTCTAACGGTTGATCGTAAACCATTTTCAAGTTTTTTTAGTTCTTTTGTTTTGAACTATAGAAACTTGAAAATGATTTATGATCAAACGTTAGAAAAACCGAAAAGTTAAATTGGAAGTTAACTAATTTTTTTTTATTTATTTAAAGGATAACCAAAAAAGATAAACTTGTGGATAGGCCACCCTTAACTAAGAATTCCAACTGTAAATGTAACAGAAATGTCAAATAAATACATACACACAAATTCTTACTATAAATGTAACAGAAATGTCAAATAAATACATACACACAAATTCTTACTATAAATGTAACAGAAATGTCAAATAAATACATATACACACAAATTCTTACTATCAATGTAACAGAAATGTCAAATATATACATATATTACATACACACAAATTCTTACTATAAATGTAACAGAAATGTCAATTAAATACATACACACAAACACATGCTCACACGTACACCATTCTACGAATACTGTCATGTTTCATATAGTACCTAAAGGTG